ACTCAAGACCACGGAACTTCTCCCCCCCTCCCCATGTACTACCACTACCTGTTTGTATATAAAATTTCCAATTTCCAGGCGCCTCTGTTCATTCAAGGCTGGATATGTCCACTCCGCCCACCCTTACTATTTTATTTTTTTTATTTTTTTTTTTATATATATAATGTGTAAGAACAGAATAAACCTTGCCTCTGAAAGCTTGGATGCTCCCTCAAAGAACGTTTCTGGTTCTGAGGGGTAAACTTTGCTGGAGAAAATTGAGCTGTACATTTTTTGGGAACTGAATTTTGCAAAGACTTAAGGGTTCACCTTGTATGAATTAGAGAAAGACAAATGCTAATAAATAAAAAAAAAAGAAACTGATAAGTTGTCAACCTAAGATACTGCAAACATACTGTTTTTTATTTTGATTTATTTTAACTGATCTCTAGCCACGTTTGTTTTGAATCTCATTCTGAAGCTGCTTATTTTGTTTTCTTTTGCCAGGAGTTTGAATCAGTAGCTGCGTTTCCATTGACCATATAATTTAGCAATATCACATTTTGAAATAAATTGGCTTACTGGAAACACACCAATTTTTGAAAACTTTCTTTTTTGATGAGTTTTGTTGTTTTTTTTTGGCTGTATCAAAATTGGTTTATTTTGCAACAGAAACACATTTTTCGCTTCACACAAGACATATGATCAACACCGTTGCCACATTAAGCCTTTTCACGTGTGATTTTAATCGCGTTTATGTGATGGAAAACACAGCAATCGCACAGTTGTGTTTGAAATATAATTTTTTTGCATATTTGTAATGGAAGCGCAGCTGGTGATAACTCAAGCACAGCTAATCTGAAAAAAAAAAACTGTTTCCAAAGTTAGATGATGTGGCAAAATTGCTTTCGAATAGTTCTGAATGTATTCCACTGTCCCTAAGATGATACCGAGAAAAAAAAAAGCACCTCCTATTAGTAGTTAAGGGTTTTAACTTCATGGTTGAAGGATTTCAGATTAGCGCTTGCAGGGTTGTAAATGGCATGGTAACTATGGTAACTATGAAATGAGGAATCATGGGAGATGTGATTAAAAATGGAAACAAGACAACTGATAAACATGTAGTGGAGAAAAAACGTATCTAATGTAAGACCTACGGAATATCTTCAACTGTTAAAATGCACAAAACCAATAAATGAGAGGAAGAGAAGACCTAAAAATAGAACAGAATCAGCTAAAGGAAAAATATTCTATAAAAACTTAGGTTTGTGGAACCTTGATTTTACAAGAAGAAAAACAATCCAGCAAACACTGACCACATCCATCTATTTATGACCTTCTACTCCTGTCATCACAAGCACCCTTAAGTTTAGACGACATCTGAATTCGAACATTTGACAAAGTACTTTCTTTAGGCCTGAAAATAATTCAGCTAAGCTACAACAAAACATTAACGTTTAAAGAACATAAAACTTAAACCATGAGTGATGGCCTCTCCTTTTGGCTTTTCTTCATCCGTCTTTTATTCCTTCCTACTCTCGGTGTCCTCTGTCCTCGCATCGGTTGACAACATGTCCTCTGTCCTCGCATCGGTTGACAACATGTCCTCTGTCCTCGCATCGGTTGACAACATGTCCTCTGTCCTCGCATCGGTTGACAACATGTCCTCTGTCCTCGCATCGGTTGACAACATGTCCTCTGTCCTCGCATCGGTTGACAACATGTCCTCTGTCCTCGCATCGGTTGACAACATGTCCTCTGTCCTCGCATCGGTTGACAACATGTCCTCTCACCACATCCATAAAACCCTATGTTGGTCTTCCTCTCAGCCTCCTTCCCTGTGGCTCCAATCTCAGCATCATTCTGCTGATACTGTCGATGTTCATTCTCTGAACATGTCCAGACTTCAGCCAGTCCTCTGCCTTTATCTCTAACATCCAACATCCATCTGATGGACTCATTCCTGACCATCATCATCATCCCCAATGAGATTCTCAACATCTTGAGCTCTACAGCCTCCAGTTCTAACTCCTGTCTGTTTCTCATTGGCATCATCTCTAAATCATACAACATGGTCTCTCTATTGTCTTAAACATCTTTCTTTTGATTGTTTATCACACTAGACACTTTTCTCCACCTGTTCCAACCTGCCTGCTTACTCTTCTTCACCTCTTCTTCACTCTAACCATAGCTCTGGACTGTTGACCGTTTACTTCTACTCCCTGTAACGTCACCATTCAACTGGTGCCTCTCGTTTACAGAAATGTCTTTCGTCTTCCTGCAACTACTCTTTACCTGCGCCCTTCTCTCACTGCAGATCAGTGTCATCTGCAAACATCCTAATCCACTGAGACTCCTGTCCGTCACCAAAGCAAACTAGAACAGGCTTCGAGCCAATCCTTGATGCCATCCCACCTCTTTCTTGAACTTCTGTCTCATGGTTCTCCCAGATGTCCTGCTCCACTCAAACATACTTCTCTACCACTCCAGACCTCATGCAAGACCACAGCTCCTCTCTCAGCAAACAAACCTCAAACTCTAGAAAGACACAATGCGGCTCACTCTGATCTTCTCTATGCTTTTGCCATCAGCATCCTTAAAGCAAAACCTGCACCAGTACATGTCATGGAATTCATGTGGCCTTAAGTTGTGCGTATAGGTTGGCTGTAGAATGCCAGAGTCCAAACCTTTTTTGAGGATCGCCGATGTGGTGCACACTTTAAAGAAAGAAGTGACCAAGTTGGTTACAGTGAGAGGAAAAATCACACTGCAAAATGAATTAGTCAATAGAAGAAATTGGAAGTGTGCTTATACAGTAGCTGTGAGGAAAATAGTGTATTTGGAAAAACTAAGTTCAAATCCTTATAGCAGCTTTTGCTTAGACAAAATGTCTTCAGAACACTGCTAGTACAACTTCCAATTAATTCATGAAATAAAATGTATTATGGTTGTTTTTAATATGAAATGTAGGGAAGGAAATGTTTGGCTTAAAGCAATGACTTCAATTTTCTTTACAAATTCCAATATTGTCTGTATGTTGTACTTTCTGATAAAAGCTTCACATCTGTGTTACCAGCTTCTGGCTCCTGTGCACAGGCAGTCCAGCCCAGAATAATTCCCCATTTGCAACTCTTGTTGTTTTCTTTTGGTTTGTGGCTCTAACAGAAAACTAGAGCAAGAACAACAGACCAGAACTTTCACATCTGACACTTCGTTCCATGAAGCACCCGAAACAGCAACAGTGACACCTAGAGGTGACTTTGGCTCACTGAGCTGACGTGCACTTAACACTGATTACACTGAAGAAATCCCTGTTATGTCACACATACATCATACATTTTAAAGTTGACAATAAACTGAAAATATTTCTGCAAAGCTGAGATTTTAAATGTAGAACCTGCTAAAAAAAAAACACACAACAGAAAAACAGTGGGACTGTAATGAATCTGTAGATGGATATACTTGCAGTGGAAAGTCCTTGGTGGTAATTCCCATCTTGTTTCATGTCCTATCCAAAGTACTGGGTGATTGAGAACAGATCGTGATGGGGATAAAGTCTGCAGTTATTAGTTTTCCAGACTTTCGTTTTCCTTTAACACTTTATCCAGACCTGGAAAATACTGCGGTTCCACACTGATCCAGAAGACAGAGGAACCCTCAGCGTTCAGGAAGAGTTTCCTCTCACTTTCAGTTTGCATTTTGGATCATTTCTCAAAGTTTTATCAAGGTCTGATGTTCCTGTTTTGGCCCATTGGGACAACATACAACAAATCCTCTGGGATAAACTGTTGACTCCCCTCAGACTCATAAAGAAGAACAGCCCAATAAAGAGTCTCGATTAACTAAGTAACTGCCGGCAGCAGGCGGTGCAGCACCTTCAAACACTCATCAGAACGCCACCATGCATGTGAAATCCTCCGTCTGCCTCACTCATGTTCTGCAAGGCACGGCTTCAATCGCAAAACTATTCACACCCAGTAACTTTAGCAAGTCACTGTTACAAACTTCAGTTTGTTTTTTGTGGATGAAGGTGAGAGACGAACACAAAGGAAGAGCAGGATGGTTCGGTGGAAGGAAAATATTTTTCCAAATAAAAATCTTGCAGTTGTCCTCACCCCCCACTGAGTCTTTCACTGCAAAAGCTGCTGCCATTATTTTTTGGGGATGTTTCCACCACGTTTGCCCAGAGACACAAAGCTTTTTTATTATTTTTCAAATACTTACATTTGGTTAGGAGGGGAAATGTTTCATTTCAGTTTTCAAATCTTTCCACAAATAATGTTAAAAGAAATTTGACTTGAAATTGGGCCTCTGTCTCTTTAAAAAGTCCTGCTCTTTCGGACACAACATGGCTCCCCTATTAACCCTTTAACGACATTTTGAGAAGTAGCTGCTGTAATGAGCTGAGCAGATGTGCGGCTCCACTGGGTGCCAATTGCTGGTGACTAGTCTGAAGGAGCCGAGTGAAGACGGCGCTGTCTCAAACCCCACAGCTTGCAAACTTGCAGCTCTGAGGAGGAGCTTGGTCCTCAAAGGCGGAGCTAGGTCTGGTTGCCATGGGAGATTAAGGGATTTCTCAATCATGCGTGAAAATTCCAAGGTATGTTTTTGATGTATAACTTTATAGCATGAAGTGAAGCTCAAAACAATTGTTTTTCTATAATACTGACTTGGTCGTGGTGGTTTCTGCCTCCTGTATCCAGTTTCAGATGATTTGAACAGAACTCTGTGAAATGTTTATGATTTGACCCCCTGATCTGAAGCTGTTTGTTAACCAGTTATCACACAGGCTGGACTTCTGGAAGTTTCATTTAAGGGCCGCAATTTAAGGAAACAAAAAACCAAAATAAACCCCAAATAAAACAAAGTTTTTTCTTATGCATCAAAACGTGCTGGGTGTCACACGCAGAAAGGTTTGAGTTCTCTGCAAGTCTCGCCAAGGCTTCATGCGCGCGCGGCTCCCGGCTCATGAAGAGGCTTATGTGCGTTTCTGCGGGGAGGAGAAGGGAGCCAGACAGGCGACAGTGAACACGGTCTTGGCTTTAGGGCACAGGCTCGGGAGCCAATGAGAAGCAGACATCCACTCCTCTCTGTCCTGCCTGGCTTGGCTCGGCTCGGCGCGCCCTGTAATTAGGAGCTCTTGCTGGGTTGGGCGCCGCCCGCCACGGTGGACAGCCTGGCTGGCTGCTGCGTCAAGGGAGTTTGGGAACGCCAGCTCCACACTGACTGAGGGCAGCAGGAGTTTAGAGCGAACCGAGCCAACTAAAAAAAAAAAAAAAAAAAAAAAAAAATCGACTTTCTTTTTAAAAAATAAAATGAACGGTCAATCGTCACCTGTCTTTGAGGAGAAGAAACCGTCTCTGCCCGGCGTGGCGGGGAGCTCCATCTCCACCAGGGACTCCCCCGCGACCCTGCCGGAGTCCTCCGCCGCCGACGCGGGCTTCTACGGCGGCCAGAGCGCGCTGCACGACCCGCAGGACTTTTACGCAGCGCAGCAGCCGTACGGAGCTGCGCACATGAACCCGTACACCTACCACCACCACTACAACCTGAACGGCATGGCGCCCGGCGGCGCGTACGCGGTGGGCAAGGCGGAATACCCGTACCCGCACGCGGCGTACAGGGAGCACGGAGCCTTCGGCAGGGACGCGCAGGCGGCGCTGCAAGAAGGTGGTGAGAACAAACTTTCTGCTTCAGCGAGGTTTCTGCGCGGTGTTTCCCCGTCAGAGCCGCTCCGCCAGCTGCTTTCAAACTGACTATTGTTTTGATTAACATCTTTAAAGATTGTTGAGAAAAGGGGACTATCATTTAACTTGTCAAATTAATTCACAATTTTAAAAAATCCATTACATTAACGACGCAAAAATCGAATTAATTTCAAAGAAATGTAAATAAGTTAGTGTATAATGAAAAAAAAAGAGTTACATTGAACTTTTCAGTAAGTCAAGTCTTTTCTCCCGAGAGACTTTATTACAGCTTACAGTTTTTTTTTTTACAGAAGCTTCAAAGTCAAGAGTTATTTTGTTGTTGATATTTATTACTGAAGCAAAGTAATTATTTTTTTTTGTCTCTAAACGGAAGTGGTTTGTGATCTGCTGCTCTGTTGGCCTTCAGGTCTTCAGCAAGCATTATACCCTCTTAAAAGAAAAAAAGAAAGAAAAATCAGATTTTTTTTTTTTTTGGGTGGGGGGGTAAACAGCGGTTATATCTGTCAGTATAGGTTAAATTTAGCTGCAGTTTAAAGCAGTGAGGGTTTGATCAGGATTCCAGTGTAGGATTAGAGAACGACCTGAAACAAGATTTCAACAAAAGTAAAAGGAAAACCAAAAATCCAAAAAGATTTTTATTTTTTGTCTCGTTTTAACATACAGGTCATAAAATGTGTTCTAAATGTTTCAGTCCAGGTGTAATGAGTCTGTGTTGTTGTTTCCATGCTTGTCTTACTCTGAAAGTGGTTTTCATACTAAAAAAAGCAAACAAAACTCAAACTGCACTTTTTTTCTGTTTTTCCAAATAAACTAATAATTTTAAAAAAACAAAAATCATCTATCTCAGTCACATAAAGAATCTGTGTTCAGTCTCGACCCGTCCACATAAATTGGGCCACTGGAAGTATTGATGTTGAACTAAAAGGAACCAGTGAGATTTGCTGTTTCCAGTGATCAGGCTAGTTACTAATAGCAACAAAAGCAGCTTATTTAGTCCATAAATAAGTTTGCAGAAACTCGTTTGCGAAGAGAAGTCGGCGCGGCTAACTACCAGAAACGCGAATAAGCGTCTCACATGTGCAGCGGCCATTTTGGATTTTGAACTTTCGGGATGTGAGGAGACGTCGAACTCTTTTGGGGAGCGTTCCTGAAACGCAAACACATTGACTTCTGAAACTTGAATGCGTTCCATTCACATGCAGAAGTTTTCATCCCTTTGTGCTGTGAATTAGGACACAGGAAACTTTCTGCTCTGACTGGGCCGAAATGTATAATTCAGGGATCTCCTGTGCTTAAATGAAACGCATTAACAATAAAATGCATCATGACAGTCAACATGCTGTTGGAGACGCTGCCTATTGCAGAGGTCACGGCAGTAGTCATCAAAGGAAATTATTTCCCATGAAGATCTGTTAAGTTTCTGTTTTTGTGTGCTGAAGAACGTTTATAATGCCACCGGTGACACATATCAACTGACACCCCGCGGCTTAGTTTGAGGCTCTTACTTTGAAATGAGAAAGGAAGTGGTTGCTGGGTCTCTACATTGGTTAGAGTCTGCTCACAAACTGCTCACCAGATTATGTAAAAGTACAATTTAAAAGACAAGAGCAGAGAAGAGCAGCCTCACCTCTTTCAAACCGATCAGCGCTTTGGAGGACTAATGAGAGACCGACCGAAAAGATACGAGGGATTTCTGAGTGGTGGTGATAAAACGAAGTCTGGCGAACTGTCAGCATCAAAGTTGTGGTCTACTTTATAAAAGTCGAACTCCACTTAATAAAAGTCGTCCTGTTTCCTAAGTGTTTTCAGTTCCGTCGTGGTATTAAGGCTTCATCTTAATTCTCACACAGCAGGGAAATTCTACCCGAAACCGATTTATTGTTATTTTTTGCCCCCATAGTCAAATTTTTCGTGCCAGTCTGATCGGCCCAATTCAGATTTTCTCACCCCACAAAAAAATCTGATTTGTGCCACTTCTACACGTGGCACTAAGGCTGCGTTCACACTGCGGACTGAAGTGACCCAATTCTGATGTAATGCAACCTGTATCTGATCTTTTCATGACAGTCTGAACAGCACAGGTCGGATTCTTTTTGAATGCGACCCAAACCACTTGGGTATCCGATTCAAATGCGACCTTCAGGTCACATTCATCCGAACTGAACGTCACTGACACTGGACAAATATCACTATTCTGCACCCTGATACGCACAAACGGGACGTATAACAACAACCACGACGGATTATAATGAAGGTTAAGTTGTTAATATGCTACTCCGGTCAGACAACAACTTCAAATATGTTGTCTGACCGTTAGCCTCCATGTTTACTTCTGCAAACACTGAACACTTCTTCTTTTTATGGCGGTCGGCAGAGCACTGAGAACGCTGACGCTGTTGCGCTCTCTGCTGCGCATGCGGGACACATTCAGGGCCTTTGCCCGTCCAGACTGCAGGTCGCTTAATGTGGCAGTCTGAACGGCCTCTGTAAAAAAATCCAATTCGACAACATATCTGAATTGGGTCATGTCAATCTGCAGTGTGAACGTAGGTACATATCTGATTGTTTGTAGGCATATGAACAACAAGGCGTCACATTTTGTCCGACATTTATATCAGTCCACAGCTGTATTCCATTGATCATGCAGTCGCACAATTTGACATGTCGAAAATAAATTTGCTTAACGGAAATGCCAATTTTGTAAATTTAAAAAAATTAATTATTCATTTCTTTTATAAAAAGTTTTGGCGGTGGGATGAAGAGGTTTTCGGCTGTATTGAAAATGGTTCATGTAGCAAAACTGCAACGTTTTTCACATCACACGAGCCACATAATTAACAGCTTAATGTTGCCACTGGCAGAAACTACGAAGAAGACGGCGACAGGAAGTAGTTGAAGGATGATAGCGTAGCATGTTTTGTAGTTTCTTATCTCGTGAAGAAACCTATTCATGTGTGATTTATTATTAGATAGAGTTGCTGCAATTGCAACATTGTGTTGTTGGACATTAGCAGAATACAAAGTTTGTTTTTACAGATTTGTAATGGAAACACAGCCACTGATGAGACACATGCATCATAATTCTGCACCGGCAGCCAGACGATGTACGTCCACACGTAAACAATGGTTGAAAACTATAATTATGAAATTATGAAGTGCGTCACATCCCAGTCCCACCACTCATGGCTCTGACTATGCATCCAAACGGACTTCTCTTCAGAAATTGCAGTCAACTGCTTTTAGTCCTGTTATCTTCTTTTCCCTCTGGTTAGAATTTTGTTACGTTGCTGAATGACGTTTAGATCCATCCATCAACAATCTGTGTTATTTGTCTTTCATTCAGCGCATGCGCGTTGCTTTGGGATGATAAACCGTTTTCACGTGGGTCTGATTGCGGTCGCGTTGTTCATCAGCTGGCTAGTCAATTTGTGTGGATTTTGCTTTTGTTTTGACATTTCTGCATGAAAATATCTGAATTAGGCAACAAAATTCACAGTTTGAACGCAGATTTAGAACAGAACACTGACCTGGTCGAGTAAGACACAAATAGTATTTTTATCTTGGTTGCTGTGATTGATGAAACCTCTACTTCTTAAAAACAAGGGGTTCTTAGTTTTCTCAAAGGTGCGGTTAAACTCTCATCCAACATTCCAAAGTGAGCTGTCTTGTCTGTTGAGGTGAACGGCATCCAACAGGGAAAGGTTTGATTGACAGCCCACCGTGCCTCCCATTGTCTGCTCCATCCGAATGTACAACATCTAAATACGCCAAATTAGAGCTGCTTCATCTACTTGTTAGCTAATTGAGGGTTAGTAGTTGCTTGTAGTTCATTGTTGATGCTGAGAGATACAATAATTGGAGAGAACATGACAGGCCAAGGCTAAGACTTCTAGGTGATGTATTAATTACACCATTTTATATCATTTAGTTCTTAGCCTGAGGGTTGAGGCAGAGAATGCCACAAAACTACTTCATGTCAACTCAGTGACTGAAGCTGTAACGTTGCACAAACATCCAAGTGTTCCTCTGAGCTGCTCAGCAGAGCATGAGCTCAACCTTCCCTCCAAAAGCTGTTTTTATTCGTCTCTTCCTCAAGGTTTGCTGGGCACCTCGGCTCACGGGAGAAAGAAAAACAAACTAGATGAACTGGTGTTGTGTTTTTGGCATTCCAGTTGGGAGTTGACTCCTGGAACTGGCCCCAGGGGACTTTGGCCCACAGCCACGGCACATCAGGTGTCACGGCATGTCAGCCAGCCTTGGCCTTTGAATCATCCACCGTCGAAAAGTTCCTTATCACGCGAGGCTCGGGCGTCACGCCCAAACAAATAAATAAACAAACAACGAGAAAGCCCTTCCGTGTCTCATGCCGCGTATGTTTATGTGAAAGTAAATCCAACGCTGGCTTGAGGTCCAACATTTTTAAATTAATTTTTACTTTACAGCATGCCGTAAAAAGAAAAGAAAAATAATATCGCTGAGCATTCTCAGGTATTGTGTCATCCAAAACGTTGCAGTCGTAAAAGCCAAACCTCTGACAAGATCTTGTGCTTCAAAGTGTTCAGTCTGGTTTGACGTTCAGGTTTTCCTGAAGGTCTCGTCTTTCACACTGGTTGTTTTTTCAGTTGTTGTTGTTTCTTCTTCTTCTTCTTTTAAGTGACCTTTATAGGTCACAGTTGAGTTTAATCAGACTACAAACTACAAATATTCCAAAGCTTCTAAATACGTGAAATACAAGTTAGCAGACGACTGATTTTGACTTTAGGGAAAAGTTGAAACACGCCTCTCAAAAAATTTTTCTGAAATGATTCTAAAGCTGAGATTGTCTCTGTTTTTAGCTCGCAGGATTACTGGGAGTAATCCTGGCAATTTATTACTCTAATGCCACTTTAAGGATTTCTGGGAAGCTGCAGGAGTGGGCGACATGGACTTTGAATTTTATTGCAATAATTTTGTTGTAACAATATAAATTATGATTAAAAACTACATAATACCTCTTTCTTTTTTTAAGGTAACATTATGACCGTGAATGCGGGACACAGCGCCACAAACATAAATGCTGACCTTGAAAAATATTCTTGTTTGAAATGCGCTGCAGAGCGGCTGTTACTGAACGCGGCGTGATATGATGCTCTTGTGGACCAGTGGAGAATATTGTGAAAATAACATTGTTGCTAACATTTTTATTCAACATTAATGATTGTGATTTACTAAGACAATGATAAATCAAAGTCCTTATCATGATTAGGCATTTTTCCCGATAAATGATACCCGATACGATAACTGCTCACCCTCACTCTGCGGCGTAGTTTTCTTTATACATGCGAGACACTTTTTTCAATAGTTACTCTTTTAATATTTATGTAAATATTCACTTTACCCTTCTATTTTTCATTTACGTGCCAATGTTTCTTTTCCAGAACGTTTTTCACGAGAAAACAAAAACGCATAATTTCACTTCGCTGGTTTTATTTGAAAGTGGGAAAAGCAAGCGCTACTAAAATGCTGCAATGTGAGTAGTAATACAGTTGTAAACGTGTAATGTATATTTATTTATTCACTATTATTTTAGTTCTGATGAAATATAGTTTTCAAGATTCAACAGCACCGGATGTCGTCATGTTTGGTTGTTTTGCTTGTCCAGAGGATGCAGCTTTATTAGTCAGGCTGTCTGCTCAGGTAGCTTGTCAGCAGTGTTATTAAACAGTGTTACCTGAGGGAGAGTGATGGCTGTTGCTGCTGCAGTTGAGGTGTTCTTTCTCTGACACCTCATTAGAGGACTCCAAACCGTCTGAAAGTTTCAACATTGGGTTTGAAGTCAGAAACCGGGAACAACTGTTCTAAAAGCGTTGAACAGGCTTGACTTGTCTTTTACTGTCTCTCATGTAAACTTCAATTTATGAGATTATAATTATAATCTTATAAATGTCATTAGCTTGACATATTAGAGATTAAGATCAGCTTCCATCAGCATGTTGAAATGCTGACTGTGAGCAGAGACTTCATGTTGGCGTCTGTCGGTGAAGAGTTTCTTCCCAATCAAGTGGATAGATTGTCTTAATTCTGCAGGAATTTACTGAAGAATTTGTTTTCATGGAACATTTGCTGCTGGAATACCAGAACAAATTGGGAGTGTTCTACACAGGCAGGGCTTCAGGCGACTGCAAAAGTACCTATAAATCTCTGTCTCCTTCCCCCAGTTGTGGGAAACTCTGAGACCAAATTATAAGTTCACAGTGCGGGAGGAATTTCTTTGAAAGTTCAGTGTTACAGAAGCCGCGGCTATTTTTGTGCCACAGCTTCTCAACTTGGAGTCTTTGCTCCGGAGCGCCCTTGTGAAAACGTTTTGTGACAAAGCAGGACTACGGTTTATTGGTATTTTTTGTCTTGTCTTCCCTCCCCCTTCTCCTTTACCGCTGCAGTGAAAGAGGAACCGGATCTGGAAGTCCGGATGGTCAACGGGAAACCCAAGAAGGTCCGCAAGCCGCGGACCATCTACTCCAGCTACCAGCTGGCCGTGCTGCAGAGGAGATTCCAGTCGGCCCAGTACCTGGCCCTGCCGGAGCGGGCTGAGCTGGCCGCGCAACTGGGCCTCACCCAAACGCAGGTAAACGCTGCGAGTCAACCGCCGTCTTCTGTTCAGTTCTGTGTGGAGACAAAAGACGCTTCCGAGGAAAACGACGCAACGACCAAACCGAAACTTTCCTGTGAAAGCACCTGGTGACGTTTCCAACCTGGCGCAACATTTCTGAAAGGGATGCGAGTCATCTGTTAGCTGGAACTGTTCATTCCAACACAGCAGTCACCGTCTGATTCACTGATTGAAAATGAACGTTTGAATGTCAAAATGTATTTGAATATTTGCTGAATGGTTTGGAGGGAAATCATTTTAACTTACAGCTGCGGTATGTAACTTTATTTAAAAATATGTTATAAGGTGTGAGGTGGATAAAATGTGAAGAAAAAAAATCAACTAGAAAAAAACTAGAAACAACCAGTCAGAGCTAGGAGGCAGGTCTTAGTGCTGTCAATCATCCTTCAGTATGGCGCTGCCCATCCCATCACCTCCTCTCCTCTTTTGCTCTCTGCTACTCTGCAGCTAGCAGAGCCTGTCCTGAATGCTAAGGCTAGTTAGCATGGCCACTGAAGACAGCAGATAAACATTTTTCTTGTAGTGGTGAGTTATTTTCCCACCATTAACACATTGAGATTGATTGACAGTGCTAAGCCCCTCCCTCTGGCTCTGATTGGCTGTTCTTTACTGGTAGTGGGGCATTGCTTCAGACAGCAATAGCAGCACAGGAAGGAAGTGAAGGAGATTGATCTTTTCACAGATTATATATCACATGTTGTCATGGCACAACATGGTGACAGTTTAAACTGAAGAATAAAGCATTAATACTTTAATACAAATATATATATATAATTTGTTCAGCTTCCCTTTCCTTGAGAAGACAGCATCCCCTGTCTTAACACACACACACACACACACACACACACACACACACACACACACACACACACACACACACACACACACACACACACACACACACACACACACACACACACACACACACACACATATATATATTTATATATATATTTTTATTTATTTTGTTCAAATTAAAGTTCAGGTCTTTTGCTTTGTTGCTACTAAATCTGCACTGTAAAAATGAAAGCTACAGTAGTTGAAATAATATTAAAATAATTACCAGAGGTACAGTTAGGGCCAGAAATATTTGGACAGTGACACAGGTTTTGTTATTTTAGCTGTTGACAAAAATATGTTCAGAAATACAATTTATATATAATATGGGCTGAAAGTGCACACTCCCAGCTGCAATATGAGAGTTTCCACATCCAAATCGGAGAAAGGATTTAGGAATCATAGCTCTGTAATGCAGAGCCTCCTCTTTTTCAAGGGACCAAAAGTAATTGGACAATGGACTCTAAAGGCTGCAAGTAACTCAAAAGGCCTTTCCCTCGTTAACCTGTAATCAAGTAAGTAGTTAAAAGGTCTGGGGTTGTTTCCAGAAGAACCAGTTCACAACATCAACTGAGGTCCAGAACACTCTCAGAGAAGTAGGTGTATCTGTCTCTAAGTCAACAGTAAAGAGAAGACTCCATGAAAGCAAATACAAAGGGTTCACATGTAGATGCAAACCATTCATCAATTCCAAAAATAGACAGGCCAGAGTTAAATTTGCCCAAAAACACCTCAAGAAGCCAGCCCAGTTCTGGAAAAGTATTCTATGGACAGATGAGACAAAGATCAACCTGTACCAGAATGATGGGAAGAAAAAAGTTTGGAGAAGAAAGGGAACGGCACATGATCCAAGGCACACCACATCCTCTGTAAAACATGGTGGAGGCAACGTGATGGCATGGGCATGCATGGCTTTCAATGGCACTGGGTCACTTGTGTTTATTGATGACATAACAGCAGACAAGAGTAGCCGGATGAATTCTGAAGTGTACCGGGATATACTGTCAGCCCAGATTCAGCCAAATGCTGCAAAGTTGATTGGACGGCGCTTCACAGTACAGATGGATAATGACCCCAAGCATACAGCCAAAGCTACCCAGGAGTTCATGAGAGCAAAAAGGTGGAATATTCTGCAATGGCCAAGTCAATCACCAGATCTTAACCCAATTGAGCATGCATTTCACTTGCTCAAATCCAGACTTCAGACGGAAAGACCCACTAACAAGCAAGACCTGAAGGTTGCGGCTGTAAAGGCCTGGCAAAGCATTAAGAAGGAGGAAACCCAGCGTTTGGTGATGTCCATGGGTTCCAGACTTAAGGCAGTGATTGCCTCCAAAGGATTCGCAACAAAATATTGAGAAAAAACTTTTTTGTTTGGGTTATGTTTATATGTCCAATTACTTTTGAGCTCCTAAAATGTGGAGTGTTTGTAAACAAATGTGTACAATTCCTACATTTTCTATCACATATTTTTGTTCAACCCTTTAAATTAAACGTTACAATCTGCACTTGAATTCTGTTGTAGAGGTTTCATTTCAAATCCAATGCGGTGGCATGCAGAGCCCAACTCACAAATATTGTGTTACTGTCCAAATATTTCTGGCCCTAACTGTATATGATGTATATCGAATCAATCTACAATATAATATGTAAGATACAAAATGCAAGGACTGTTTCTCAGCAGTTGATGATTATGTTCATTTGTTTGTTGTTGTTATCTGAAGTCATAATCTTCACACCAATGATTTACTGCAGGAGTGATAACATATGGTTTGTTTTATTGTGGCCGTTGTAGATCATTGTTCAGTGTTATCCTTGAGTGACTCTCACAAGCATATGAAATACCCTGGTCAACTTTATTTATGTAGAAAGCGACCAGTGGACACAGTAACTTACCTCTGAGTCATGAAGCAGTCCCCACAGAGACACATGGTGGTGGTAGCATCATGCTGAGGGGATGCTGTCTTCTCAAGGAAAGGGAAGCTGAACAAAGTAGAGCAGAAGATGTAGGTTGTTTGAAACTGTGAGATACTTGAGAGTGGAGAGGAGGTTCAGGTCACAAGCAGACTTTATGAACGGAGCTAAAAATAATCAGGTAGATTCAGAGGTTATAACTGAATTTGAGGGATGCGCGATACATCTGCGTTAACATTGGTATCGGAGGATTTTTCTGAAACATTTCTGTACCGGTTTGATAATTAAAACTGGGCCGATTTTAACAAGCGATGTTTATTTCCATCGTGTTGCTGTTTGTGTTTATGGAAGGCGCGGCTTGGCTTTGTGATCATGTGATGCAGTGCAGGATTTCACAGAGACGCAATATTAACAGTTTGGTCATTTTTCACAGTTTCAGAAGATAGGAAAATATATTAAATTCATGTTGTGTGTATAATACTGATACATATTGGTTATTGGCTATAACAGAAGTAATATCAGTTATCGGTATTGGCCCAGACTTTAATAGCGGCGCATCCCACATAAATTTGAATAAAAAGGTACTTAACACAACTTACTTTGCCTTTTCCTATGGATTAGAGTGAAGTGTATCGGAAAAATCCTTATGATTTGTTCTGAAATATTCTCTGTTTCAGGTCAAGATCTGGTTTCAGAATCGACGCTCTAAATTTAAGAAGCTCTACAAGAACGGCGAGTTTCCGCTCGGCGACATGCCCTGTGAACATAGCCCCGACGCCAGCGACTCCATGGCCTGCAACTCTCCCCCGTCCCCGGCCGTGTGGGACAACGCCTCTGGCAACAGCAGCAACAACAACAACAACACCAGCAACACAAACAGCAGCAGCAACGGCATGAGCAGCATCGGCGACACAAACGCCGGCGGCCTCAAGAACAGCGCAATGCTAGATCCCGCCAGCAGGGGTCAGGGTCCGTATCAGCCCCCAATCAGCTCCTCTCCCGCTTACATGGAGGACTTTACGCAGCACAACTGGTACCAGCAGCAGGGGGCGCAGTTAGGCTTGGCGCAGTCAGGTCAGATACACCACACACCGCCGACGGCGCCATCAGACGCACAGAGTATGCGCGCCATCTACTGAGCCACCGATCTGGATGCTCAACACCATTGGTGCTGAAAAACCAGACCTTTTGTTTGTTTGTTTTTCTCCTCGAGAGGAATTTCAGCGTTGCTGTAACCCCAAATGACCTGACGGAGAACAGACTCGAGCAACGACTGGTAGAAACTACAAATATATGAATATTTCCTCTGTTTCTCCCAAGCCGGACTGATATTTTTGTGGGAGATCACATGGATTGAAGTGTTTTTGCACTGCCTAGTCTGATAATATTTTGTAAAGTAATTTTTTTAAACATCTTTTTATTTTATTTTATTTTGTTTCTATTTGAATTTTCTCCGTATTTAACGTAAAAAAAACAACAACTTTTAATTATTTGGTCATTCCAATAAATTATGTTCTGGATTTGTCTGTCTGTTCCCTACTGAAACGACGTGCTACTGAAACTCACTGCTGGACTTTACCAAACATAAAGACTATCAAGGTAAACCTTTTCATTTCTATCGGTATTTAAAAAAAAAAACTTAGTACAGATTGATGGACTCATCTTTGTGTTAAACTGACTAAGACTCAAACTAAGATTTCCTTATTTATTTCTCATATATATTCTCCTGTATAGAAACACTGCAATCAAATGTAAGTACTGTCACAATATTAAAACCTTGTGTATTTAGGGAAAAAAGAGTCTCAGCTTCCAACTGAGATGGTAGCTCTGTTTCCAAATGTCAAGCAAATTTCGAGCAAACTTTTCATACGAAGATGAAGAAGGAAGAAAAGAGAGTTCATTTACTGGTTTGGTGTGAATCAAAGAGTGTTGATGCTGAACACGGCTGCAGACCAGCATGGACCGGACACATCAGAAAAACGGGGAGAGAGTCCTCCCATCTGCACTGGAGGTTTGGACTGGGAGAGTTTGTTACATTGGAGCTTATTCTGCAAATGTGTCTCCGTCTCCCTCTGAGCGCGTTTACTCTTTCTGCCTAAAACCGACTCAAACCAGCCAAAATAACCCGAGGAAGTTATTTTGAACTTCGCCGTTTCCATCCACCGTTTGTGGAGTGGTACTTCAAAAAGTGGCATTAAAAATCCTTCATGGAAAACCGTCTACTTACTCAATTACTTGTATTTGCTTCAAAGTTGAATAAGAGGTAGACAGGAAAACGACTACAACAAAAACCCCACCAGCAACAACTCGGGGAGGGGTTCCTGTACTCATGGCTCCTCTGTTGTTTAGTGCTTGAACATTGACCAGCACTGATCCACCCAGTCTTTTCATATTGGTGAACGTTCACAACAGCAGCTTACTTTAGCAATGAAGCTCATTTTTAGCATCAGAACTCTGGGTTCCAATCGATGGGCAGACTTTGGAAGGCCCTGTTTGAATTTCTTCAGAAATGTTCTAGTTCCTTCTGTAATCCTGAGCCTTACATTACACTATTAACACTGCAGGGAGAAAAAGATCTTTTCTAACAATGTTTTTGGGCATAAAGTTAATTATGTCCTCCAACTCAGTCCTGCTGGTGGTGACAGCCAGGCGCAGAGGGAACGGGACTCAGTGACAACACCAAAACTGTAATCCTAATGGACGATTTGTTCACTCAAAGCCTCATTATAACAGAATAGAAATCATTCATGCGTATCAGAAATGTCTTTTTCTGAGTCGAAGTTCATTTCTTTTCGAAGCCGTCATGACATTTGGAATTTGTCCTCATCTGCGCCGGCAGTGCAGCCCTTCAGGGGAACTTTAAATTCACTCACCTGACACCTCGCCTGGTGCTCCTCATGTCACCGTCTCTGTTTCTCTGCCTCTCCATTCACTCTGTGCTCTTCACTTCTCTCACTGAGAGCAAATCTTATCACAAGCGGTTTGATGTTCAAGCAAAAGGGGCTGCGAAGTTTTCCAACAGCCACCCAGACTTCCCACCTTCGGGAAAAACATTAATTGTCTCAAGAAAATTCTTCACAACGGACACAAACAGGAGAGAACTGAAGGGTGAAGCAAACTCTTCCCACCTGCAACTGTGGAGACGCTCCTGTTAGCGTGAGGATGACATGTCGTGTCTTTATTATTTAAACAGACTTATAAACTACTTGTCTTAAATTAAGTCATCTTGACTGAATTCCTAAACAAAACAGGGAGCATGAAGACAACTGCTTTCTGTGGTTCAACCGTAATTTGTCCCAAAGACTCTATGGTAACCTGTACCAGACATACTGTAATGTGTTTCATGTAAATACGATGTGAATAAATGAAATAAGGAACACATTTGCACATTGATTCATTTCCTTCAAACCCAGAATTAAAGTTTACAGCTATTTACTGTTTTTATTATCATTATTATTAGTGACAACAGATTTCACAGTAATTCCAACTGAGGAAAAATTCAGGAAAATACGAGTCATGTCATGGAGCTAGTAAAAATGCAACCCATTAGGTTTTGTGCTTATCCCACTTTTAACAATTCTAATTTTCTGTCAGATTTTTGATTATTTGATATCGATGTGTCTTTTGTGTGGAGTCTCATTTGTAGTTTTCTGGCAAGAGCTCTGATTTTGGCCTGTTAAACCGGAAGTCGAAGTTTCAATTTAAAAAGAAAATCAAAATCATTTTGTAAAAGAAATTCTGAAGAAATGTAAATAACCTTTGAGCATGCATTAAATATATTTTTCAGTGAGCCCAGGTTAGACATTTTGTTTTAGGACATTTGACTTTGGGATTTGAGTTGGACGGCATTAATTCGCTGATTGTTTGAAACTTTGTTGAACAGATAAAACCTGACCTGGATTTTTGTAACCTAAATAGAAAAATCCCAGTAATTTTAGATACAAAAAGCCACCATTTCATTTATGAATAACACAAAAAAGATATAGTTCATTTATTGCACTGGGAAAAGCTTAAACTAATTACTCATTCTTTTGTGAAACCTTGATGCTATTTGTAAAAATAATAAAGACAATTTTTATTAAGGCAAGATTTTCCCAAGAACATTGTTAACATCCTGGTTCTACCTTTCTCTGTGAGTCCTTTATCTTATTTATTTTATTTTTTTTATCGCATTGCTTCTCTGCTCGGATATAAATCATTTTCAGCCTGAAGCAGTAATGTTTGAAAATTTACAGGAAAGCATCAACATGCATCAACACGAGTCATGACATTTATAGACCAGAGTTATTTTAGGACAGCAGCAGAGCCGGGGGGAGTTTGCAAAAAACTGTACTAAAGTTGAAGAAGCACTGCTCCAATATTCTTTTACTCAAGTAAAAAGAAAAAAGTCGTCCAAGAATTCACTCAGGGGAGGGTTAGAAAAAGAAGTATTTGGTAAAAAAGTCAAATGAGCAATTTAATACCTAAAAATGGCATCATAAGCATCTGGACCATAAAACATCTGATTTTAGTCCATCTGATTGTTAAATTTCCACTTAATGACGTTAAGTGGAAATTTTAGTATTTTAAGAATCAACCTGACAATATTTTATAAAAGTAAGAAGAAGGAATTTTTTCCATTTAGTTTCTTTCAATATAAAACTTCTGAAACTTTAATAAAAACTGCAGGCGTGTGTCTTTTGTCTGGCGGATTTTTGGCTAAAACATGTTTGTTTTTCATTCAGTGGGATCAGAATCCAGAAATTTTACTCAAGAAGGAGTAGAGATACTTCATAATAAAAGTACCCCATGGTCACAAAAAAGAAGTTACTCAAGTGCATGAAACTAATATATATTTATTTATTTCACTACTACTGGTCTTGTTGAAGAGTCTGGAGATGATGCAGAGCAAACAGAACCTGAGTCACATCCTGAGGAGCTTCTGTATGAGAGCGGACATCCTGCCGTCTGTCTGTCTGTCTGTCTGTCTGTCTGTCTGTCTGTCTGTCTGATCCCTCATCAACTCATTTCACAGCAGAAGAATTTCAAAGGTTTTCGCGCATGCAATACTGAATACCAAGACATGCATGTGAGGCGTTTAAGGTGTTGCAGCTCTGGTAGAATATTTGCGTGGCTTTAGACTGAGCAGCAGATAAACAGAGCTGGTTGCAACATGCAAAAAGACTGCAAGGAAAAACAAGACAAGCAACTTGCGGAACTTTACAACCATCTAAATATTAGTATGTTCATTTCCAATCTTTGACATCTGAAATGAGACACAACAGTAACCACGATGAATGAATGAATTATTATTTTTTTCTTATTTAACTTTGATTGGCAATCAAAGTTGCTAATCATTACATTAGAATAAGTGACAAATCAGTCACTTATTCTAATGTTTTTTATAACTAAAACGCCCCATTCGTTCATAACAGTGAAAATAGGCCCAGTTAATTAAAAAAGTAAATAAAAGCTGGAACCTGGCGCCAGAAGATTTACAAAAAAATTCCGATCTGTACTCAAGTTTTTTATTTAAGTTGTAGAAATAAAGAAAAATAATTCTAAATGCCTTTAAAGTATTTTGTTCTGATATATTTTTAACTTAATAAAATAAAAAGGTCATGTTCTTCCCAGACTTCTGTATTTGTTTCTAGATACAGCACACACACACAAACCCACGCGCACACCCACACATGCACGACACACACACACACACACACACACACACACACACACACACACACACACACACACACACACACACGCATGCGCACCAACACACGCGCACACACACACACACACCTCGGTGTTGTGCTGACGGTGCTTTCCCGGTAAACCTGTTGGAGTGAGTCAGACAACAGAGGCAGGTTGCACCCATCTATATATTTTACATTCACATGCAGCGTTCGTGTAAAGCAGGCTGTGGGAGGCGACGATGCTGCAGACACGCTGGAGTCAGGAGATGCTAATAACACACCGCCGACACGACAGAGATGAGAGCCGAGCGCTTTCATGTGGGATCCAGTTGGAGAGGAGAGGAGCTTCTGTGTAGAGAAGCTTGCAAACACTTGACAGAAAAAGGGTGTGATGAGGTAACATGTGGACAGACAATTTGAACTATTTCTGTGCAACTTCTTTGTCCTGATTTTTTAAAATCTTTCTTGTTTTCAGACTGAAATTGTGAAATTGTGAAAATTGTTCATCATTAGCCTGCCCAATAAATGGAGCTAGATAATGCATATTGGTCCTTTATTTTGAATTTTGTCTAAATTTACATGATAGGCAACATGAAGTGGTTGATGACTGGGAAGTAAAAGAAATCATTATAAATCTTTTTTGCATAAAAAGAAGAAAGAAAGAGGAAACAACGGAGCCCGTCTGGTGACAAGGGAGAAAAAAAAAACTCCACTTACATCTCCTGGCCATGACTTGTTACCAGACATAAAAAAAAAGAAAAAAAAACAACTTTTCTTTGAGATCCACTTCATTGTGGGATATTAAAATTTGCATCAATATTGATATCCAACATTTCTTACAATATCAGTAAACTCATGTTTACTGATATTGTGTTTTATCTTCAGGGTTTTCATGTGTCCTTAAAAAGTCTTTAAAGTCAAGATCTTAAAATGTTTTGAATCCAATTTAAAATTGTTCTTAAGGTAGATCTTAAATGTTGTCATGACAACACTATTTAATCTCATACATGTTATGTAGTTTTGTGTTTTTCCTTGCAGGGTTTTTTTTTTTTTACAGAAACGTTTACGTCACACGGCAGACATCTTTGCTGCTTGTGACTAAAGATGGTTGTGAAGCTACTGCTAACACGCTGCTAGATTTTTTGCATCTGTCATCAATTATAGAGCAATTTAAAGTCGCAAATACTCAGCAAATACCCACTCATGCACAAATTTTTGTATTATTTTTTTGATTTCCTTTATTTAACCAGGTAAACCTGGTTGAGATCTGGATCTCGTTTTCAAGAGGGACCTGGGCAGAAGACTACAATACACAGAAAACTAAAACCAATTAATGAGGTTGTAGCAACCATATAAAAGCCTCAGCTAAGATCTTCAGTTGCTGCGTTTACAGTGTTGGTGAAACTGGAAAAATTGGAATTGCGCAAAAAGCATTTTTCAATGGAAAGGCGCCAATTTCAGAAAAACAAACATTTTTTGACTGAAAGTTTTTGAGCCAGGATGAAGTTGTTTTTCAGACGGAATTAGTGTATTTCACAAAACTGCGACTGCAAACTCCATTTTCACATCATGGGTCACGTGATGAACAGGCGGATGTCACTACTGGCAGAAACGACAAAGGAGAAGATGACAGGAAGGAGAAGATGACAGGAAGGATTCCGGCGGCGCGGCGTGCTTTTAAATGACTTGTGTGAACAAATTCATTCGCATTTTCACATTGCGTTTCTTATTCAAAGGAGACTCAGCAATTGCGAAATTGTAGTTTTTGGGGGTATTAGATGCAGATCTGTGGACGTTTGGAGTGGAAACGGAGTTGGTGAAAAGTTTAGAAGACAACGCAGAGTGCTGTGCATGTCATTATGTAATCATGGTTTACTGGAGCCTCTGACTGGGGAACCTGCGGCCCCCCTGAGAAAAGCAGCAATGTGTGCCGAGGCTCTGGGCTTCCTGTGCTGATCCCCTCAGCTTCCAGGTGTCACAGAGGAATGCATCTGAACATCACAGGAAGGCAGACAGGGAGGGCAAACAAGGACTTGTAGCAACCTGTGACTGATACTTCACAGAGAAAACAAGCCATTGTGAGTTTCTACTCGTCAGCTAACACTTTTCATCAGTAGATTATATTCTCACAGCCAAAAAACCAAATATACCAGGTGGAGTGTGAGGTTCAGGCGCATTCACGTTTACTCTCATACGACAGGATTCAAATGTGTTTTCCTTCCTCCGGAGCTGATGAAAATCATCACGGATTCACGACGAGTGAGCTGAAGATGGCCAGACAAGGCGATGACATCAGCCTCTGCAAGCAGAGCTGACAGGAAAACTCGGCAGAGGGAAGAAAACCTCTGAAAGTGTCACAAAAACCCCGAGCCGACTTGGCTTTCCGTTCCCGGCATGATCCGCATCTGTTCAGCCATGCAGGAAAAGAAACGTAGGAGACAACAGAGACCGCAGGGTACCGTGGGCCGTCTAACAAGATTTAAAGACAAATATGAAATAAAAGAAAGACCTGAGCTAAAGACGTGCAAATGGATTGTTTTCATGGTCAGGTTGCGAGAAGAACTTAAAAATGTAAAAATAAATAAATAAATAAATAAATAAAAGAAACGCGCACACACAATCAACAAATAAAGTATGCAAATTCAAACTTAATTTGATTTTTAAATTACACAGAGATTAACTAAAGATGTAAAAATGAATGT